AACCACTATACGATTAGTGTTGGCCTTGGCAGTCTCTTTTAATTGGAATATATGTTTCAAATACTTTCCTCCATGGGATTTTAGATGAAGAAGTGTATATGGAACAGCCAAAAGGATACGTGGATGAAAATCTTCCAGATCTGTCGCTTACATAAGTCACTCTACGATCTTAAACAAGCTCCAAGAGCTTGGTTTCATCGACTTTCTCAGCAACTTATTGACTTTGGGTTTACAGAATCAAAGGTTGATTATTCATTGTTTACATTCTGCACTAACACCTTCAAAATCTTTGTCCTAGTGTATGTTGATGACATTATTGTAACAAGATCTGATAGACAAGTAGTTCTTAACTTCATCGAACAGTTAAAATCTAAATTTCAGATTAAAGACTTGGGCGAACTAAGCTATTTTCTTGGGGTTCAAGCAATCAGAAATACAGATGGATTTCATTTGAGACAAGCAAAGTACATCATTGATCTCCTAGAGAGCACCAAAATGACTGGTGCAAAGACCTTGCATTCCCCTTTTGTATCTGGTTCTAAATTATCCTCCACCGACGGTGCATTATTTGCTGATCCATCTGAATATCGGAGAGTTGTAGGAGCCCTTCAATATTGCACCACCTCCCGACTAGATATAGCATACTCTATAAACCAGCTTTGCCAATTTATGCACTCTCCTCGTGAACCTCACTGGTTGGCTGTAAAAAGAGTATTAAGGTACTTAAAACGTACAGTGGACTTTGGTCTTCACTACACCCCTTCTAAAATCAAATTGCATGCATATTGTGATTTGGATTGGGCAGGTAATCCTGACGACAGAAGAAGTGCCAGTGGATATGGGGTGTTTCTAGGTCAAAATCTGATTTCTTGAAGTGCGAAAAAACAAGGAGTGATCTCGCGATCGAGTACTGAAGCTGAATATCGAAGTATGGCCCTAGCTACAGTTGAACTATATTGGATTAGAATGGTTCTGCAAGAGCTACAGATCACTTTACCTACAGCACCCACTTTGTGGTGTGACAATATTGGAGCTATAGCATTGGCCTCTAATCCGATCTTCCATGCTCGCACAAAACACATTGAAGTAGATTATCACTTTGTTTGAGAAAAGGTAGTCAATCGTGATATTCTGGTAAAACATATCTCTACGCAAGATCAAGTTGCTGATATCTTTACCAAGGGACACACATCCAATCAATTTCACTTCTTAAGACACAAACTGCTGGTAACATTTCTT